TATGTATATATATATATATATGTGTGTGTGTGTGTGTGTATGTATATGTGTATATATATACATTTTGAGAAATTTATATATATATATATATACATATATATACATATATATATATTATATATATATATATATATACATTTTGAGAAATTTCAAAGTTAAATATTCATTATTCTGGAATTCAACAAGCACAAACTTTAAAAAGTTGAGATTAAAATTATTAAACTATTTCGAAGCTAATCAACAGCAATTTGTTTTGGGGTGTTTTGGATAGATTATTAGATATTTTTGGTTGGGTAATTATTCTTTCTGCTCATGGTTTGATTACATATTATGCAACGCATAGGTCTATCCAATTTAATATTACTATAATTCAAACTGTAAGCTAGAGTGCATCGTGTGTCAATCCTTTTAAATGAACCTAGACGTATACAATGCATATCGTTAATACTTTATTCACCCTCCAATAGCAGAATACAAAATTCATACTGGAGGGCATATAGACAAGAAAAAGAAACAAAAAAAGAAAACGTACATTTTAACTAAGAGATTAATATAAGAACAAATTTGAATGACGTATCATAGATAACGATGTCGTAATGTGATGACGTATATACTAACTAAATTAATTATACAAGATTGTGTGCATTATACAGCAGGAGCAGTTACATAAAAAGACCTAAAATTGGAATCACTACAACAGATAAGAACAAATAACAGACTTTTATTTTACCACTATACGGTCCTGACATTGCCACCATTATATTGAACGAACAACACAGACATCCTTTTAGACTTGCATGTTCAAGAACTGGATAAATGAAACTTATAGCTTCTTCCCACGAACAATACAAAACAGGAACGATCTACCAAAATCAATCCCACAAAACCAACTATTGAACAATTCAGAAAGGCATTAATTTTTTTCCCCAAAATTTTGTTTTTTATTTAAAAAAAATACACTTCTGTAAATATATCTTCTTTTACTTTCCAATGAAAGGCAAGGAAAGAAAGCAAAGGAGATGAGAAGAAAAAAAAGGAAAGTGAAAAAGAAGGGGTAGGGAAAAACCGAAAGAAAAGAAAAAAATGGAAATTGGAAAAGAAAAGGAAACAGATAGAAATTAAAAGAAAAGGAAAAGGGGCTGTCGGCGGACAAGATAGAGATGGTAAGTTAAGAGCACGAGAAATAAACCTCTGTAAACCAAAGATATAAATGTGTAATTTATAATGTATAGGCCTAATGTATACCTGTCTCTTATACACATCTAGATGTGTATAAGAGACAGTCTGTGTACATAGTTCGGGTGCTCATATTAAATCGTAATATACATTAAAAATATATTATTGTACCCGGTATTGTCAACAAACGTTTTCTGAAATCGATTTACAACAGCTAAAAAAAAAATGCTCAGATCGTCGGAGCACAAGGGGCCGTCGCCCCTGGACCAACCGGGGTTCCACCTCTGGACCCCTGGGGCCCGGCACTCCCCCCCCCTCCCACCAGCCAACTGGTGTAGTCACGCATTTCAAATCTCTCAGATTGGTACCTTTGCTATTATTATTATCATTATTTTGACTTTGGAAATATGTGTACATATGTGTAAATAGGGGGATGGGAATATGTGTAAATAGGGGGCGATATATCCACATTGAAAACCGTAGAAGGCGTTTGTGTGTACTTTAGAAAAGACACCTGTTGATGATAGCAATTTGCATAGCAGAGCATGTGTTAGAAAATAGAATGTCCAGTTATCCAGAATCAGTCCATTTGTTCACTTGAACTTCACACAGTAACTGTTGTGTACTGCCAGCGCTTAAGAATTCACAATTACAATTACTACGACTGAAGGTAGGGCACGTTAGAGCACGTTAGAGACCTAAACTATTCTGTAGTAGGCTAGTTCAAAGTTCATGATACCTTTTACCGTTGGTAAAAAAATACACGTATAGCCTATTATAGGGTGGTTCCCTTTGGTTCGGATAAATTGGACAAAAAAAGGGATATAAGCAAGGCACGAACATAAATGTAAGTTAATTCTTCCAACATGCCGTAGTGCAAAGATAAGGAGACTAGTTTAGGATTCAGCCAGTTCCACTAAGCAGCTCATTGGATTTTGCGTAATAGTCGGAACAGCAACAACGGCGAATATAGCATTTACGATATCATAACAGGTGGAATAATTAGCCACATACAATGCCAGCATGTACAGAAGCTGCAGTGGACTAAACAATTATTACACACATAGAAAAGAGTTGCAATATTGTAATTATTTGTACAGGCCGTCCTATGTGACTATTAAAAACAAACTAGTTTGTGTTGGTTTTAAAAGATTTTAATAATTTTTTATGATTTCAGGAAGAAAGGAATGATGGGGGATTCTGAACTAAAGACGCTTGCATGCATGTCTTCAAATAGTCCCAACACAGTCTTCAGACGGCGTTTAGGATCTCTGACTACCATCAATAAAATGCGCGAAAATATAGAATTATGCGACGTCACAATTTCAGTACAAGATGAAACGTTTCATGTGCATAGGCTGGTGATGTCAGCATGTAGCGAGTTTTTCCGGGTCATGTTCAATTCCACTATGTCCGAGTCAACATCAAAAACCATTCGCCTTTCAAACTATGTAACGTCAGCTGCCGTTGGTGTTATTGTAGATTTTGCGTACACAGGTGAATTGGCAATTGAACCGTCAAATGTTCAAGAGGTTTTGACCGCTGCCCACTACTTGCAAATTAATGACGTAGTAGAAAGCTGTGTATGCATAATTTCGAATGAACTTTCTGAATCCAATTGTCTTGGTATATGGCAACTTTCCAAATTTCTGAACTGTGAGAGTCTAAAAAGAGAATCAGAATCAATGATTTGTGAATCTTTCTGCGAAGTAACCAAAACCGAAGAGTTTATGCAACTATCGGCCGAGGTCGTCCTCCATTTATTACTGAAAGACGAAATTGTGGTACGCAACGAAGATGAGGTAAAATAATTGTTTCTGTTTTAAATATTACAAAGATCAATCGACAAAATAACTAAATCACTTGCATACAGCCTGGAGGTTTCGCTCAAATTACAACAGTAATCTTGGAAAAAATTTCATTGCGGGAAGCATTCAACAGTATTTTATTTTGGTTATCTGTCGGCATATATAAACGATTTTTATGGATCGACATTTTTTTATTTTTGAATTAAGATTTAAGTTAGTAGTAAGGAATTAATTGTAAGCGATATTTGTGATTTCAAACACGTGCATGTCGTTTTTTAATTTTAGGTTTTCAAAGCAGCGAAAAGATGGTGGCTATATAATCCAGACGATCGAAATATTCATAAACCGTCAATATTCATGGCTCTACGGGCACCTTACCTGTCTAGTGCCATTCTCCAAATGATATGTCAAGACGAAGATATCATTGCTGAGAAAGCGTGTGTCAAAAAAATATTCGGTACGTGTTCAGAATCCGCAGTGAAATCGTCCCGCCATTAACCATCTAATAAAAACAATGTTGAATCGAAATGACGTATTTTTAAGTAGGCCTAATACAAAGAATGTGAACTGTAATATTTAAGCATACACATTTGTTATTTGGCAAGAAAAATACCTTTATCATTCCAATAATTTAAAAAGTTGTTTAAATGCTTGTTTATTATTTTCATTTAGCTCACCTTAACTTGTCGAACGTGATCATTCGGTAAATATGAAAATACTATTCGTGCAGAGTAAACTGTACGTAGCGTAGTCTGTTGCTAATGTTGTGTTCTGTTTTAAAAATAGAGGCAATGTGGTACCACACCCTTGGTCCAAACGGAGGTTATTCATGCAACGGTAAACTCCAGGAAATACTTAAACAACGTGTCAAAAAGTCGAACCTTCAAATTGCATTCTTTTCTGGGCACCAGAATTTCAAACACAAATTATTCGATCCTGTGAAATTAGTATGGTCAGAGGCAAAGATCAAAGAATTGGAGCGCGTTCGGTTCACGGCAGCCAGTGTGATGAGCCGTGTATACATCCTTGGTGACGTATCGTCAAGTTCTAGGCCTACTGATATAGATATGTTGGACTTCACCACCATGAGTATGACACCTGGAGTCTTAAAGCTAAGCCCTCCTAGGGACTCATTAGCTGCATGCACATTAGGTGAGACACTGTTTGTTTCTGGAGGATCCAGAGATGAAGGTGAGTACAGTCATGACATTTTTATGACGCACATCTTTCGTGCGTTGACGTGTACTACACGCAGTGCCTTGCCGCGTACGCAAATGTTCGTGCTTTCTTCTAACTATCTGTTTATTCAACTTTAATTAAATACTTCGTTCCGATTCTTAATAGTAGCAATGCGCTAAGCATCTTATATTGAATTTATTTGGAACAATTCGCCTTTTTCTTATCTAAATTTGAATTTTAAACTTAGTACTTATCTGCATATATACTTGAATTGGATATTGCGCTTGTTTAGTCTGAATATTTTTTTCTAGGTCGCAAAACCATTCGTAATTGCGAGTACTACGACTTGAAGACTAAGACCAGATTAGAAATTGCTTCGATGAATAAATCTCGACATCGACATGGTTTGGTATCTGTCAACGGCTTCCTGGTTGTATGTGGTGGGTACATCTCGACGAGTCACGAACATGGTCCGTTGCACGAATGTGAAGTGATGGTGGCAAACCCAGTCCCAACTGGCAGGTACGACGAAGCAAATCCACATTGTTGTTTGCGCGTGGATTTGGTTGATTTTTATAATTCTTTTGTAGGCATCGTTTACTGGACGATTTTTCATTAATGGTCGATTGCCGAACTAGTAATTAATAATCAATTTCTGTCCTATAGGTGGCACTTAGTGGCTGGTCTACATATTGGTCGGATAGACTTGGGTCTTGCAGCAGTGAATGGTAAGGTATTCGCTGTCGGCGGACAAGATAGAGATGGTAAGTTAAGAGCACGAGAAATAAACCTCTGTAAACCAAAGATATAAATGTGTAATTTATAATGTATAGGCCTAATGTAGCTACGCAATTCTATAGAAAGAAGCAATATTGCATTTACCAGGAAAGACTGTTGCAAGTTATCTTATCTTGATGATGCCCTTGGAACCCTCATTCGTATCCAGTGAGCAAAATAATTCACACCATTATCAAATTTTAGAGCCTGCACCACAAAGACATTCCGGTTGTACTAATCCGTTACTTTCAATTTAGGAGGTATTATGAACAGCGTCGAATACCTAGATGTATCGAAGTGTTCTACCGTCGAACAGGCGAAAAACTGCGAATGGAAATTTGCTACATCTCTACCCGTTCCTCTAACCAAGGTAAAGTGCACTGTGGTTGGTAATTCCATTTTCGTGATAGGTGGTACTGTAAAGTTTACACCTTACCAGGAAAGACTGTTGCATGTTCTGGAATACGAAGAACCGAATAATTGTTGGCGACTCCATAAATCCACCCCTGCGTGTGGTAGTAACTGGGGAGCTACAGTAACTGTAGATTTGTGCCTGTAAATTAGTCCTATTCAACTTTTATAACGAAAAAAGCTATTTTACTCGACGATTTTTATATAATGTAATGTGATCCGACAGTAAGCTTGCAATAATGACGCTAGTGTTTATGTTTGAATCTATAGTATAGTTGTTTTCGTTTAATATATGATAGTATTTTTATTGAATGAATATATTATTTAAGACTATCTTATATGAAATGTTTATTAATGTATGTATTCATTATCTTTATTTCGTTCGTGAAAGTTATATTGATATTAAATTATATTTTAATATATTTATAAATTGGGAAACAATTTATTCGTATAGTCCACCACATTATTTCTAGGAATTCTATCCATTCTGTCTTAACCAGTATACTAGCATTACATCAAGAAGATTATAATATTAGGCCTTCCATCATCCCACTGCAGCCTACGTACCCCTGGGTTATGGAGTTTTATCCCTCCACTGCATTTACCGTATACTTAAGCGTCTTTATCCCGCCATGTGTATACTTTGCCATCTATTATGTTGACAGCCCTCTGATGATAGGCCTACGGTATCTTGCTTTTTGCCTGCATCATTTGCTAAAACCAGTTCATTGGTTATGGCAGGAAAGAACCAGGATGAAATCTACATTAGGTGCAATGCTCTTAATATGTGCATCCACGTTTATCTGTCCACATCAATAATTCAGTGAAAATGTCGAAAGTACTGGTCGATATAGTGACATGAAAGCATGTTTACGAATGGAAACCATTAGAAAATCCATATTCAGACAATTCAGATATTTCAGTTCATACATATAACATACGGTATTCTTAAGAAAAAAAACAGGTAATTTCTTTTTGAAAGCCCACAAAGTATCAATTAAAACAGATAACTAAAAATTAGCATATCCCCAATGGTTTTGATCAATATATACCGTATATTTTTTTATCTGGCTTGTTATTAAATTTATGTTGGCAAATGGTAATAGGTCTCATGTGACATGCAATATCATAGATTGAATCTTGAATTAGAAATTGTCTAACGAATCGGCTGTAAAATGCAATGATATAATGCATATAACGTCAAATTCAGCTAGGGAACCGATAGACCAGCTGTGGCGTATGTAGGAGTCTTAAAATTCGAGCTCGTGATGGATGGAGGGCGGGCGGGGAGAAAGGGAAAATGTTTCGGTGCTCAATGATTAGGTGTGGGAGCTAGCTCGTAAAATAAGGTGATTTGTAGGTTTGAGCGTGATTTTTGGGAGCGAGTATTTTTTGCGGTTTCCCTGCCCACCAGATAAGCCACTGTAATAGACCCAAGTTAAGTACAAACTATAAAGTGGCTTATCAATAATATTACAAGATGAAATAAAAAACATGAATCATGAATGGTATGCTCTCCCGCTTTCCACTTTGTTATAATATATTCAACGGTTTTCACTAAGAATACAGATTGCAATCGAGTGCTTCATTACTCTTTTATTTTGTAAAGCGCAACATAAGAGCAAACCTAATTAAGTGCTCTACAACAACAAGACTCAACGCACAATCTGTTAAAAACGCTCTTTGAAATGCCGAACTACAATAATAAAATTAATATTTTCCGGTTGCTTATAGGCTACATTAACATCACACCGAGAATCCAGACTACCATACGTATGTTTCGTTGGAAATATTTAAATATAACTGCATTGTCAATGACAAATAACACGAGTTTATACAACAGGTGAAAGGAAAGAGGACTAACGGTCAGGGTGGCGCCAGGATTTCCCCTTTCTGGGAGGGGATGATAACCGACGAGAGCAAAGTGGGCGTCGCTCAAAATCTCCCGAAAGTTGTCCAGGGGAGAAGCCCCAGAAATATGACAATTTAGGGATTTCAACGGATTTTAGGGAGTATAATAAAATATGTAGAAAATACGTTTCCCCGACGAATTCTGGTTTTTTCCCGACGGTGGGGGTGTGGAGGAGAGAGGGCACACCACTTTTGCCACCCCTGCTAACGGTGCTCGAATAGGAAAATGTCATTATCGTATTAATCTCTCGTTTAATATTGCGTTTACAGTAATGGGCCTACGCAGGTTTATACGGAGGTATAAAATTAGATAATTTTATACCTGCATGGTTATATACTTAATGATTTCCTAACTGTGACATACAAGATCACTTTTCGCTTAACCATGGCTCAGTGAACGTAAAAGTTAGTTGTACGAGAGGTGTCTGGTGGTTAAATTTCATATCAATTATTTTCATTTTTTTGTTACTCTTCGTTTAAACATATAAAATACGGAGACGTACGAGAAAAAGTTAATGAAATAAACAGTAACAAGCGTAAAATGTATTACTGGCAGTTGGCTCTCCAACCTCACCGATATCGTGTACGGTAGCTTTCTGTGGTCTACTTGACACACGCCTGGAGGGTGCAGGTTCGGATCCCCTTAGAGATAATTTCGTAGAAGGGTTAGGCATGTTTTAGACTATAATGATATCATAATGTTCCTATTCAAGCACTGATTAGTTTTCTACAGTAAAACCTCGAATTTCAGTGACCTTAATCTTGAGATAAAGCCCATCTCGAATTGAAGCACTCCTCTTTGGTTTTCAAAATTAGCCTCGAAAAGACCAGGGCTTCTTTTCAAGATAGCATAGCTTCTTTTCGAGAGTACAGTACATGCATTGTACATGATTTTAAAAAATCAAAATAAATACAAGTTTGGTTTATACAGTAGTTTAGTTGATGTTAATGCCAGTTAAATAATAAACTCCATGATACAGATTGATGTTACAGTGGCCTTATTGTTTTATAGTACAAAAATTTACAGCATTCATTTTCTCTTGACATTGCAAAGTAGCCTCGAAAGGAAGCCCAAATTTTTCAAAAAAAAAAAAAAAAAAAAAACAAACTCGGGGCTTCAATTCGAGGTTTTACGGTATTTGTTTCATATATATAACGCGTTGTTTTTGATCAAATATATCCATACCGAAACTTATTAATCGATGAAAATCTGCCTAAATTCTCAACATCCAGCGCCCTTATCAATATCACAAGACTGGATTGATGCAATTGAAAATAGCATGTATATTGGATTGGTAATGCTTGATCTAAAAAAAGGCGTTTGACACTTGTAAATACGGATATTTTAATTAATACGGTAGGCTACATGGTTTTGGATTTCATAGAAATGTAATTAAATGGTTTGAGAGTTATCAAGTAAACGAAACGAAATTATATTAAATTTATAAACGGCATTTCGTCTGACATGGAAGAAAGCACATCCCACAAGGATCAATCCTAGGACCAATGCTTTTTATTTTGTACATAAATGATTTGCCAAAATGTGTAGTTAATGTTAAAATTAGCATGACGCTGACAAACATCAGTTTACTTTTGAATCCAAATGTATTCATAATCTTACCACAAAAAATGCCGATCTCGTTAAAGTCGATGATTGGCTAGCCTAAAACAAATTAAGCCTAAATATTACTAAAACAGAGTGCATGGTCATTGGATCTCAAAAGCTCAATCAAATTTCAAATGATGTATGCTTTCATATAAATGATAAACAAATTAAAAGAATTGTTTCATGCAAGCGCTTAGATTTTATGATTGATGCTAATCTTCCATGGGACGAGCATGTTCATAGATTAAAAAACAAGGTTCAAACTGGTTTATTATTATCTCGGAAAAATCTCTTGATGAAATTCCACGTGATACCCAATGCATAAATAAATAAATAATTTATTTTAACCTACACTTTTGTGTCAGTGGCACACGCCAATTTGGAGATGCTTTCAGAAACTACTTGAACTAAAACTTAAAAATAAATTACAAAGGTCATCAATTAAACATAAACATAAAAGCAAAATAAAGAGGGAAGTAAAACAAAACAAGGTAAAGTGAATACTAAAGAAATAATAGTAAAATAATTGTTCATGCAGCTACTTTGTTTATGCGTATACGGTACGTGTAGTATACATGTATATAAGAGCTACACACGCATACACACACAAATATACTGTATATATACGTACATACACATGTACACACCCACCTACATATCATACACACATATAACACACGCACCCACACACATATATATAATTATATATTAATAATTATATATATA